TCCCCAAATCCCCAGTAGATAGTTGTATGTCATAGTTGCACATCCTTCTAGTTGCTGTATGTGGGACGCGGCCTCAGCATGGCCGGAGAAGCGGTAGCGTCGGTGCGCACCCGGATCCGAACCCGGGCTGCCAGTAGCAGAGCGCACGCACTTAACCGCTAAGCTATGAGGCCGGCCCCGATTTTGTCTTTTTTTATGGCTGAGTAGTACCCATTGTATATACATACCACATCTTCTTTATCTAATCATCAGTCAATGGGCACTTGGGTTGCTTCCACTTCTTGGCTATTGTGAATAATGCTGCAATGAACAGAGGGGTGCATAAATCTCTTTGAATTGTTAATTTCAAGTTCTTTGGATAAACACCCAATAGTGGGATAGCTGGGTTGTATGGTATTTCTATTTTTAATTTTTTGAGAAATCTCTATACCATTTTCCATAGTGGCTGCACCAGTTTGCATTCCCACCAGCAGTGTATAAGGGTTCCCTTTTCTCCACATCCTCTCCAACATTTGTTATTTTTTGTCTTGGTGATTATAGCCATTCTAACAGGTGTAAGGTGATATCTTAGTATAGTTTTGACTTGCATTTCCCTGATGATTAGTGATGTTGAACATCTTTTCATGTGCCTATTGGCCATCTGTATGTCTTTGGAAAAATGTCTGTTCATGTCCTCTGCCCATTTTTTGATCAGGTTTTTTGTTGTTGTTGTTGAGTTGTGTGAGTTCTTTATATATTTTGGAGATTAACCCCTTGTGGGATATATGATTTGCAAATATTTTCTCCCAGTTGGTGGGCTGTCTTTTCGTTTTGTTCCCAGTTTCCTTTGCCTTGCAGAAGTCTGATGAAGTCCCACTTGTTTATTTTTTCTTTTTTCCCTTTACTGAGTAGACATGGAATTTGAAAAGATCCTTCTAAGACCAATGTCAAAGACACACACCTATTTTTCAGAGTAGTATACACACTTTTGAATTCATTTTTAAATTAAATGGATGTAGAAAAGTCTAATTTACTACAGAGTATAATCCTCACTTTTACTGGTCTTATAACTTTTTTTTAAATTATAAAAGTAATATTTACACTAATGTCAAGTAACACTGAAGAGTATGAAGTGAAAGTTTCCCTCCTCCTCAGGAGGCAATTGCCTGTCGCAGAGCAGATCTTTCTCTATGCAATGCAAATATTTTCCTTTTGCACTCATTATGGACAGTATTCCATGTTGGTAAATCAGAGCCTCCTTAGTTATGTTAAAGGCTGCATAACTTTCCATAGGAAGATGCTCTGGAACTGACAGTAGCCATTGCTCTTTGTTGGAACATGTTTCGTTTCATGGAGCAAAAATTATGCTCAGAGACTGAGACTGTCTTTGCCAATATTTTATTTAACACAGGTTCACTGCAGGAATTACAATAGTTTCACAAGCCAATAGCAAACAGGACAATGTCTCTTAATAAGC